ACTTCCGATCCGGGACTAATGGGATGTTACAATAACACCTCAGTTTTCTCTCACATCGAAAGTAGATTAAGACTTAGATTGACTTATAAAAGTATGATGGATCTACCATTAATTGATGTCTAAACATTTTGGGTTTAGACTTAACAAGCTGATTCCTTAATTATTCGAACAAGCAAATGTTGTCTAAAGAGCATTATTTACTATAATCAACATGCTATAAGCAACTTCAAGAAAGAATCAAACATGTATATTAATTTGCTATTGCAGATGCTTTTTGATAAGAATAAATGTATATATCTAACCAATAAACTTCAAAGATTGACCAAGTAGTTATGTGTAATTAGCTTGAAACATCTATATAAAGCATGTATATTAATTAGCTTGAACAAGTAGTTATGTGTTATCTGTCCATCATTTTCGTATCGTTCCTACACATGCTGTCACGTGCTATATCTTCCGTCGGTAAAGCTGACGACATCAGAGTAAATAAGATTAAATATTTTACTTTCATTGCTATAAAGATTTTAAAATAAATTTTCTAGTCCGGCGACTGAAATGCTAAAGAGGTCTCCCTACATTAAATAATTTATAATTAGGCAATCTTAAGAAAGCAAGAGGTGTTCACCCAAAACTTCAAATCCTCTAGAAATTGAGAACCAAAGCTAATAGAACAAAATGACACTCTTTAAGCCCTAAGGGAACTTAAATACTCTTTGCTATTTCCATCTTATATAAAACCACCTGACGACAATGATGCAATTGGACATGAGTATAGACGGCATTTGTCAAATCCACCACCAAAGAGAAGCGGAGAAGAGACCAAGATGCGCATACCACGCATTGCTGAACGCGGGACTGGAAATCTGACAGGATCCGAATCTCCTCGCTGTCAATAAGCGATTTACGGCTTCCTGGAAACCAAGAAACAGGTAGAACATCAAGAACGAGAAGAGATCGAGCGGTTAGAGCTCCACCTTACTTCTCGTCGCAGCGGCGGCTCACCGATAAAGAAAGAGGAGGACTGAATGGCGACGACGATAGCGGCGAAGACTAGGGCGGCGAGGAGGAGGACGAAGACGGCGGCAGGTCGCCGGATCGGAACGGAGGTCTTCGCGGTTCTCATCTTTCCGGGACGGCGAGATCGGGTCGGCCGGGACCGTGTCGAATCGCTTCCACCGCGTCGGCTACTTCAAATGTTTGTGCGAGCGAGGAACTCGATCCAGTGGTTTAAATAAATAAATACGTGGTCGGCCCTATATGTATAGGATTGGACGGTTCTGATGAAATAGTAAATAGCGGGGGCCACCGTGAAGGTCCATGAAAGCCGTTCATTCACCAGATCCACACGATGGTACAATGTCGCGTCAGATAAACCAGTCGTGAACAAAAGCCGATCCCGAAGATGATCTGTGTTTTGTTGCGCGGAGAACTCTAGTGGGCCCCGACAACAGTGTCCAATCCGAAGGGGAAGAGAAGGTGAGCAGAATAGGAAAGACTTTTGACGGACACCCGGTTACTGGAATCACTTAAAGAACCCATGTTGTGAGTGAACAGGCAACGGTGGGTCCCGTCCACGCCATGTGGGTACGCCGATGAGTGTCATTCTCACGTCAATCAATACAATACACGTATCTTATAAGAAAAATATCAAAGAGGTATACACATCAAAATAAGGAAAGTAAAGACGCAGAGAAGCAATTGAAGCATCCCAACATAAAGCTGGACAACACATGTTATGCAAGATTAAACTCTAAACCTGCAAGAATTGGAGGAGACATGGACAAATAGGAAGCAAGGATCAGAACAAAGAAGCAAAATGCATTCGTCAGGATTTCAAGTCAAACACCAATCTACCAAGAGTGTTCAAACGTTATTACAAATCTGCAAGTAGTAATAACTCATAATTTCCTTAAGACAGGAAGCAAACTAATGCGCAGAGAAAGAAGAACATCTTCTGACCTAATGCATTCACCAACCTGCATGTTCTGCAATTCATGTAGAATTAAGGGAAGGTGCTATGTGATGTCGAGTACATGTGTCTGGGATATGATCAGTACACAGCAATAAAAGACATCAAAACAGACCCTATCCAAAGCTTCCCATCCTTCTCCTCCACTTCGCTGACTGCTTTAACCACCTTGCCTTCCTTGTCCTCCAAAGTCTCCAGTAGATCCCCATTCGGGCCGTACTTAATGATCAACGCATGAAGTCTGCCTCCAACCAGCATAAAATAGTGATATTTGACCGGAATAGGGAGCTTCAGAAAAAATTTCCTCAACTTGCTATGATCAGCCATAAGATGTGCATATGTAGAATGACGACAATGAATCGCCACCCAGAATTCACCCTTCTCATTAGTCCTCACATTATCCGGGAATCCAGGGAGGTATGCAAAAACATCCAATGTTCCTGCCTTTTCTCCCTTCAGCCAGTGTCTATTCAACCTACACTTGCAAGTGCATGCTTGTCTGATTCAATTTACACAAGGAAATGGTGAATAAGAAGATGTGGAGACCAACCTGAGACGTGATCCTTCACAGAACAAAAGGAATGATCCATCCTTGCTTAGCGTCACACCATTGGGGAATTGAAGGCCCCGATGAAGGACAATTGTTTCTTTTGTAACCGGGTTGTATTTTAAAAGCCTACCAGAAGGTTCTCCAGAAAATATTAGTTGCATGAAGTTCCTGAAAGCACATACAAAGTTTATCTTTTCTGCTTTTAAATAATTTTGAACAAATAAATCCTGACAGAAAGTGAAGCCTAGCATGTCGATATATGTCTAGAACAAACTGACATATTTTCTCTAATTATGTAGCTATGCCATGCAAGTATGTATAGAAATTCACTAGAGCAAGCAACAGAACAGTTCCACAGAGCAGACATCATTGCAAGAAAGAATAGCACATAACCATTCACTGATTCATATTCACCGGTGGTGGAAGACAAATAACAGTTATTTTCGCATTGAACTAGTAAATTTGGGACTTGGATTACGAAGGAAAGAATAACTGCTTTTTCTATCTTTTTATGGAACGTAAAAACATACGATGATCATAAAATTATTATTTCCCTGTGGAGGAAAGAATGATTGCCTTTTCATTTTAATTCATAAAAACTGGGACCAAATTGTAGATCATAACATAATGGTGTTTGCTTATTTCATATTTACCTTAGGAGGGGATTCCATTAACTAGCATTTAATAGTTGATGACAGAAATGAGAAAGCAAAACCCCTCCACTAGTTGAAAAGAATGCTAAACATCAAAATAAGGAAGATCGTTTTCGGTAAGGACTAACCAAATCCGATGTTATACAGTGTACACTAATGCATACTGTCTGTCAAAAGGTGTTAATGTGTAGTAGTAATGCTCAGAACCGGTTCACATATTTAGAGGTCAATATGTTAAGTAATACACCTAAATCAACCATTATGAAAATGGTAATTCAGTGATGTAGAGCCGATGCTGAGCTCAGCTTTCCAAGCGAGGAAGTTCATTTCTGTGTCTAGAGCCAATGATGCCTACAAGGCAAGAAACCTTACTGTAATACTGAGGCCCATGCTCTTCAAAACTCAAAAGCAACTACTACATGCCACTATCATCTCATTGATGTTTCATTAAAGCTGTTATAGCACTACAATATCTTGTTTTGCATAACTACTTTTCTACTTGTTTATCTCTGTAACTTTGCAGTCGTGTAAAATCTGTAAATATCTGCTTAATGAATCTCAAAACTATAAATCCAATAGAGATTGCCTAGATACCTTACCAGACAGCACAAGAGATGCACTCACTAAATGATTATATCTGTTCTCCCAATTTTTTGTCCTATGTAAAAAGTGGGATGTGTGATTTAGGTAATGGAAGATAAGAATATGAAGCATGATAACAGGCAAACATTTGTTACTAAAGGTGTGGGAAGGGAGTCATCAGTAATTGTGTTAATTTGCACAGCCACTATGGTATAAACAAACAGCAAGGTGCCACTAGAAGTTGGATATGAAAGACCATTATTTCTCAACATCATTGAGAAGATTCCTAATTTAGTGCTTGAATAAAGGAATCTGTTCCTCATGCATACCAAACCAGATTTAGAATGAACTTCAGTCAAACATGCAGGGATCAGGAGTATGGTGATGGATTCTTTGGATAGAGCTGAACAGATGAAACTTCCATGCTGAAAGCAACAATTGCAAAGAATTCAACAGTATCTCTTGACCTCAATGCTGTGAGTGGTCCATAGTGTCTGTCCAGTTCTTTTTCTCTTTTGTTTATGTTTTTACTTTTGTTTTAATTTTACTTCAATTATACTCTAATGAATCATTTCAATCTCCATAATGGGACTTCCCTCCAGATTTTATCCAAAAATAAACTCAAAGAAAATTCTGATGTCAGTTGGGAGTTACATGCTGATATATAAGCGCTTAAACAAAGACATTGAGATGAAAAGACTGACCAGAGTTGAATGCTAAAACATAAGGGAAAAAAACAACAAAATCCAGCTACAAATAAAATGAATAAAACTAAATTGACTAGATTATCCGTGGTTAAACACGTTTACGCTATAATTCGGTGATCCTGATTTATAATCTGAACATCAAGCACCAATGCAGTGTGATTCCACTTCGAATGGATGCTAATACTAAGTAAATGAAGTGTTAGAAGTTTGAAGAAAGGTACCTCCTCTGGTAGTTAGTGCTGCTGTCTGTGAAATAAACATTACCTTCCTCATCTATGTCCAAGTCATTCGTGAAATTAAATGGCACTCCTTCTGCTTCTGTGGTTAGTGGTGCAGCCAGGCCACCTTGCGGGCCTACTTTGAGCAAGCCAAAATAGGCATCAGCAATGTACAGGTCTCCGGTCCTTTTATCGAATCGAAGACCTAATGGTCGTCCACAGATATGTTCATTCTTCAAGTAACTAAAAAGTGACGGATTCAGGTTACATATTTCTGACCTACAATCAACAAACAATGAGAACAATCAACAAAGTTTTCAGGCTAAAACTATAAAAGGCTACCACATTTTGCAGAGAGATATCTATCTTCTGTTTGTATGGAAAATGATGCAATGTACAAGTCTGCTTCACGGATAGACAGTCCTAGCCAAGCAGATCGTTCAATCCAGACATTCATTTCTTATGCAGTGACCCCGGAGTCCAAAATGGATATCGTTTGTTAAATCTCTGAATTCTCCTAGAAACAGGTTATCGAGAAATTGTGTGGACACCATACAGATTGCTTATAAGAGGCAATAGGTACAAACTTAATAACTAAACCTCATGTAAACCATACCATCTGCAAAATACAACCCTTCCTGTTGTTCACAAAATGATCTAAAACTATAATCCTTCTTTTTTTCAAGAAATTGTCTACTTTTGCTAATATTTCTTGTTTCAGTAAACCAATAGAACTACTTCTGGTAATTTCCAGTCGAGAAAGAAGACATGAAGTAGTAAAATTGTTACTTCGTATGGGTAACAATAGCTTCATTGCAATCAGGAGCACATCAATTTGGCCTCGACCAACAAAACTAAGAAAAAAGTCGATATTTACTGTGTCGCTATGTCTAAGCATTAGAATCAAAGCCATCAGCAAAAAAGATTACATATTTTGCGTCTGGAGATCAACGGTAGGTCAAACGATGTAGCCAGAATTTCCTCTGTGCATCTCTTTTCTATTCGTCAATACAACGAATAGAAAGGAGATGCAAAGAGGAAGGAGAGAGAGAGAGAGAGAGAGAGAGAGAGAGTCTGGTCCACGTCGAGACTGAAGTGTCCTTCCTCGTTACTTGCAAGCATAGAATCCAAATCTCTCGAAAGGCATACTTTCTACTACTCATTGTAAAGTAGGAAGACATCAAAAAGCACCAAGCGAAATCGAAAACCGAACCTACCTGTTGGGGGAAGTGTAGGCGAAGTCAACCCACGACTCCCCGTTCCAGAAGAGCACCCGGCCATCGGCGACGCCGGTGTAGGGCCCGCGACCCCGCGGGTCGAAGGCGATGCTCTCCGGGCCCTGCACCTGGTTAAGGAACCTGACCTCCGCTCCCCGGAGCCGATCCTCCGGGTCCCGCACGGCGGGGAACTCCGACCATGGCAGCAGCTCGACCGGGTGCGTCTCGAAGCCGGGGAACTTCACCATTGGGCTGTGGCCGAGAGGGTCCAACCCGCAGTAGACCGCTGCGGCGATGACTAATCCAGCGAGGACGACGGCCGACGGCCCCATCGGCGGGTCTTGCTCTCCTCAGGCTCGTAATCCGTTGGCGGTGGAGGCTCCGGGTACGGGCTTCAGCGATCGACGCTTTCGAATTCTGTCGTCGTGTCCTCTCCGCCATTATTTATTGATGCGGAGTAGTTGGAGGGCGTTGGTCGGTTCGCTTGGGACCGGCGACATAAATGATGACGATGAATAATAATAATAATAATAATAATAATAATAATAATAATAATAATAATAATAATAATAATAATAATAATAATAATAATAATAGAAATAAAAATATATGACAATATAATGTATATTTTGTGTTATATTTTAGGGTATGGATCAGATCAAAGTGTAGTTTGATGGGTTTTAGATAGTTAGTTGATTTGAAGATGAGAGAGAAGTACCATTTTTTGAGAACTCAGGTCACGAATTTGGCATGATATCATTCGATTATTTATGCAATGAGGAATTTTTAGATGTCTTAATCATAGATTTGACCCATGAAATTAAATTTGAATTCGAATTCGAATCATAGATTCTCTTTGTCTCTCTCTCTTCTTACTCACATTTAAATCATACTAACCATTCAATAGCGTACTATTTTTATAGTATTAATTGTAATTTTTTTTACAAAGGGTAAATAACGAAGATAGGATTCGACTAAGAAGATTTATAGTAATTTGTCAAAGTATCTAACACATTCAACCTTCAATTATTAACTAATGTAAATATTTAATTTAATATTAAAATCATAATTTTCTTTTCATATATTTTTATATATTTTTTTTTTAATTCTTAATTTAGGAGAGAATACGACTCGAATATATATTGATTTGATACAATTATGGTACAAATGGAGCACTATTGTTGTGGCTACGACAACGACGATGGCGACGGCTACAACAAAAGAAGAAGCTATAGTAGAGAAGGAATTTACAGTAGAGGCTGTAGCAAATGAAAGAGTTTCCCCCTTTTTTGCTCTGTAGAGGCAAGGGATGTGGTGTGATGGCCGTGGAGCCTTGCTCGTCTCACCCGCTCTGATACTATGTTGGAAAGAATAGAAAATAAGAAAAATTATTGAAGAAGTTTTAGCTTGAATATATTAATATATCCCTTTCCTAGTTATACAGATGAGGAAAAAATTTTCTCAACAGAATAAGATTTCGTCAACAGAATAGAGGTTTGACAACCACGAACCAAATCAAGATGGGTAATAGTTGAGGTCAATCAAATCATGCTGTGGCCAGTACTCTTAATTTAGTGATGGAAGAGATGATATGGATGTAAAAAAGCTATATACACAATCAACAGCATAAATTATAGATTTTGAAGCTTAGAAAAAGTATGGAAAGATATAAAGTATTGCCTCAGATTACTTTTCACTCTGAATGTTTTGTCGGTCTAAATCCCATTGCAAACTGATAATTGCATGTTCTTCGTGAGAAGCCACACAAACAGTGACTGCCATCCCTTTGTGTTTGACAGCAATCATTGTATCACCACAACTGTTGATTCCCCTCGACAGACTGCCCGAAATGAATGCGAGGCAAGTGTGCCCACTGCAAAGAACACAGAGTAAGCAATCGGATTGCTACATACGCTTTTCTTTTCTCGAGAAACTTATCAGAAAGAGTACGGTAGAAAGTTGCACTAAAAGAAAAGCAGAAATCTCTGATATTGATCGAATAGTATGCATTTTAGGTCGATTTCATTCGCAGGAAAAATGTAGTTTCAGCATAGTAGCTATCTTAATATGTTGTCATCGTTCTTTCCTAAAAGCCGAGTGATCTCAGAACATGAAGAACTTCTTACATTTTTTGCTGCAGTGCTGAAAGCTTCCCTATGGCTAATGTCAGGATTTCTTGCTTTTAATCTTCTTATCTCTTCTCTGTGGGCAAAAGAGGAACAGCAAAGTGACATGCGGTACATGTCAGAGTTAAAAGTAGTCTGTCCTTATCAGTTGGCACAATCAAACCAAAGATCGAAGCCAAAGTTTGAAGCACTCACTTGATAAATCTATTGTACACAGAAGGCACACGACGTCTTTTCCCAGCTGCTGCTGCTGCTGCATTGAGCGCCACATAGATCGTACAGAGAAGAAGCGAAAGGAAATGAGAAACCAACAAATCAAACACATCAAAATCTTGATTTTGTGGGGAGTATTGAGTGTCAGATTCGTGTTTCTGAGGAATGATGCACGAGGCTTACTGCGAACTCGAAGCATTTGTTGCTTGATGCTCTTCGTCGAGTTCATCGTATCTATCCCGGCGCATTTGGAGGAAGAAGATCCACAATCCCTGTGGAGTCCTTGAGATCCTATACTGTGATGCTGCCAACAAGTCATGACCTCAGTTGATGAAGATTATACTGTGCTGCTGTCTTTCTGTTCCGAGTTCTAATCTCAGACAGCAGCATTCACAGAAACAGATCAAATATATATATGTTCGAATCATAACAAAAAGTGTAGAACCTGAACATCTTGGAGAGGGAGTCTCTGAAACTGAGCACCAAAATTGACAGACAACATATTCGCACAGTTCTCACATTGTACTGTCACATTGTCGAACAAGTTGTTGCATGGAATATTGACCTGTAGTTAGAATATCAACAAGGAAAACAAAAATGGAGTTATAGGTAGAGAAAAGAAATCTCAGAATAATAAGGAACTATGATTTCACATAAATAGCTCATGAACTCAGCTATATTTCATCTATCTATAGGCACAGAATCTAACCTAGCAAATCTTAGCGAGAAGTTTATGGAAAGATGTTAGCGTAGAGACTAACGAATCAAAATAATTATCCAATATCAAGAACTTGAAGCTGAGGAGAAAGACTCTTTGTGACTTCTTTTCTCAGTTCTTACAGAAATCTCCCCCGAGAATCCTCCAAAGTTTCTATCTGAACTCTTGTTCTCTCTCTTCCCGAGGAGCTTCCTGACATGAAAGAAGCTCCACGTTGCAAGCAACAAAATAAACGTGTTTTTATCTTTGCAGTATGCTTTCGGGCCTCGTTGCTCCCAAGAAAACAATGGAGAGATGATGCGATGACACACGTACGGCAGACTAATAGATCTTCACATCTATCTACGTGAAGCTGTACATTCTTTGCGATAGATATGAATGATGAACTTATTGTGTCCGAACGAACACACAAAAAAGGAAAGCTAGGGGAGAAGAAACAGTAGCATTTGAACGACACCAAAGCATCAAGAAACGTTGGCTGGATCTTCGCGTCCTTTAGTTGGGTTCACATGCATGAAGCTCGGACTTCTCCGAGGTGTTGGGGGAATTAGATCTGTAGGAATCCCAAACATTTGCTGCTTCTGAAGCCATAGTTCAACTCACTTCTAATGTTTCATGATACTGAAATCTAAAGGCGCGTCTCTCTATATATGTTCATAGCCATGCCAATGCAGATTAGGGTTTCAAGACAGAGAAAATTATCATCTAAGAGACCTTCAAGAACATGAGCAGATACATCAGATCGGTCATGTAACCTAATATTCTTCTCTCAGTATATTTAAAGCTAATGTTCATGAAAAATAGTCTTAGAAAAGGGAAATTTGACCAAAGTTGGAGCTATCAACGCTTATGAACATCCTTCTTGAACAAGTAGAGACCAGATCGAATTGGCAGGAAGAGAAGGAAGATGGCTGCGGCTTTTACCACGAGGATTGTGTTGCAGAAGCTGCAGTGAACGTAGCAAACTTGCTGCGTCGACATCGATCTCCGATCGCCGGCTGGTTGAGCATATGCTACGAGAGAAGCTTTAGGTAGGAAGAGAGAAGACGAGTGGCTGTATATCAACAGACGACGCTCCTTTTCTTCTGCATATGAGGATCGACGAGGTGCTTGGAAGAAGAAGACATACGGGAGTGGCTAACTAATGGATAACGAGGGAATTGTTCTATTGGAGTGTGAGAAAAGAGGATGGAAGGTCTGAGATTGCCTGAAGGTTAAGGTGGCGTTTTGCCGATGCAGAAGACAAAAGAAAAATTGACTATGGAAGGAGAGAGAGAGAGAGAGAGGAGCGATAGCTCTCGAGATATTATTCTCAATTTGTTTGGTTAAATATTTAAATCTAATTGATCATTAATTTCATTGAATTTGAATTGCTAATCCAAAAATATTTAAGCCTAAGTTAATTATTATAAGATATTTTCACGTGTTTACGTCGATCCAAATCTTTATCGATCCAATATACTGACACGTCTCACACGTTTACGACGACGATCCAAATCTTTGTCTACTTAGTCTTCGTAAATTATTAATGTAACTCAGCTAAATTGTGATAGTTTCATGTTCAACATAATAATATACTCATTAGATTCTTATTCAATGCGACTATAGAGCTAAAAATAACACTCAATATTTTTTAGAAAAATATTTATATTTAAATGATATACATGACGTTCATATATGAACTCAAATTTGTGATCTATCACGTATCGAATCGAATTCAAACTTTAAGCAATTATGATCGAATCGAAACTCACAGCAATGATTTGACAGGGACCGATCCTGGAGTCCTAACCATTCTGCTCCCTATCATCAACGTGAAATCTCAAGAACGACAACAGGTTAAAGGTGGTAGTGGACAAGTTAGATGGAGCACGAAGGTCTTGTCCCAATCCTGAGGAAATGGGCGAGATGGTTCAACGACTTGAAGAGACCACAACAAGTGACATGTTTGGTGCTCGAATCTTTTCTGCAGCGCTCCGCTGGTCCCTGAATGCTTGGCTTCATCCTGAAGCTGTCTTCTTCGGCTATCTCAGCTGGTTTATCATCTCGAGTTACACGGATTAGCATGATCTTAAGCTACGACATGCCCGAGCGACATAAGCTTGGTCTTACTTAGATCGATGGAGATTAGGATGAAGTACATGGTCTCTTCTCACAGGGAGACATGATTGCACTAGATTCTTATTCTCTTCTCCTTGGCTTGGTCGGCAGGTGGGCTCTCCTCGGAGAGCTCGGTTCCATGTTTCAGCAAGATGTCACGATCTTGGCAGGTGGGGCAACTTTGGTTTCGGAGCTTGCATTTGGTTTCATCATGTTCACAGCAGCTGTTATACCATTCGATGTGGCTTTTACCAGGAGGATATGATGATCGAGTGTCATGATCAATGTTCCGATAACTGGGAATATATATTAGTAGTTTAGAGGCTGTGAGATGCGTTACGTTGTGTTGCTGCTTTGCGCAGGATGTGCAGTGTCTTCACTGTTCCAGTCTAGCGATTGATGAGTCCCCACCGGTGCTTACAGATAACAGTTACTTCGTCCATTTAATTACAGCTCCATGCGTACGACAGCTTTGGTCCCAAAGTCATCAAAAGTAGTGTTCAGCAATAGATAATTGCTGTGCAGCAAAAGAAGAGATAGAGATGGATGGAGAGCGAGTGAGAGTGAGAGTGAGAGGGAGGGAGGGAGGAAGGAAGACGGCCCAAGAAAGTGCTTCGGATTTAGATAATCACACTGCAGCTGGAAAAAGATGAGAGAGAGAGAGAGAGAGACAGAAGACGGGCAGGTGATGCTTTCAACGACGCCTTGGGTTTCTTCTCTTTCTTCACGGTCGCACACTCTTTCGGAGAAGGGACTCTTGCAGTGTGGGCGAAATTACCATGGTAACCTTATCCTGCGGATCTTTGTTGGCGCGTTTTGGCAGCTTCCGAAGGGCTTTATCGGCATTTCGCTGCACACCAACCGTGGCGATCGGACCCTCCTCGTGCCCGTCGACCTCCTTTTAGTACAAATAATTGTGGCTCGAAATTACGCTTTAGCCCTCCGATGTATCGTTCGACCTGTTTGGATTGTTTCCGTCTAACCCGTACCCGAACCCGATAAGAGGTTTAATTCGAGACTGGTTCTTCTCGTCGCATCGAACTTGGAATCGTATCGGTTTGATTCCGATGATTGCTGACCCAAACCGGATTCGATCGAGCCCGATTTCGATCCGACGAGCTGCTACCCGTTTTGTTTCTTTAGATAACGTGGAATGGGGAATCCAATGCGGTCATGTGGACATTAAGATTGATTCACTGGTTGTTAGAGGGACAGGTTGGTCATTTTATAATGTAGTAAAAAATTGGAAGAAAAAGCAATAAAAATGGACTGCCGCTGCCTTCTCGCACGCTCACTCACGCAGCTCACCGATGGAGGAAAGAGGAACGGGGGCGGCGCCCGGGCTGGAAGCGGAGCTGGTCTCGATCCCGGCGACCCCGCGGGGGGTCTCGACGCCGGAGACGGTGACCCCGACCGGCCAGCGGTCGCCGCGGCCTCCTGGACCCGGCGGCGGCGCACCTGCAGCCGGGGCCAACTCGGTTAAGTCGTGGACTCCGACGCCGGCGATGGTGTCGCCGCGGTTTCTGAGCCCGTCGATATCTTCGACGGTGGGGACGCCCATGAAGCGCGTGCTGGTGAACCTGCGCGGCTACCTTGAGGAGGTGGGCCACCTGACGAAGCTCAACCCCCAGGACGCCTGGCTCCCCATCACCGAGTCCCGCAACGGCAACGCCCACTACGCCGCTTTCCACAACCTCAATGCCGGCATCGGCTTCCAGGCCCTCCTCCTCCCCGTCGCCTTCGCTTTCCTCGGATGGTCACCATCTCTCTCCTCCTCTCTTCCGCTCTACTCGCTTGATACTGTGCTGTCTCTTTTGGGTCTCATTACTGCTTGCTTTGTACGACATTATAGCATATCGTTGGCATGCATTGGGTACAATGTGGTGGAAACTGGTTCATCTGCATGGAGAATTAACCATCCATTGATCTGTAGAGAACATCACCTTTCCTTCTGGTCAAGCTTGTAATCTTATTCCTGTCCTTGACCAGAAGATGCCATTGTTGAAGAGAATAAGATGGGTGTCACATGTTTCATTGTATGCTATTCTAAAGCTTGATGACTTGGATTGCAGGAGTTGGGGCATGATAGCTCTGACCATTGCTTACTTTTGGCAACTTTACACTCTCTGGATTCTGGTTAAGCTACATGAAGCTGTGCCTGGCAGAAGATACAATAGATATGTGGAGCTTGCACAGGCTGCATTTGGTGAGGCTGCTCTTCTCCTTCATTCTTTTTGACTTCATGGATTGAACATAGCTAAGATCACATACAGATATGTGGGAAATTTTTTGATGTCCTATTACCATGTTGATCTCATATTACAACCAAATTTATGTTCATTTCCCTGTAAACATGGTGGAGATGAACAAACTTCTTTTTCGGAGATTATAATTGTCTTGAAAGAATCACATTTATCAAATATGAAGTCCCAATTTGTTGCAGTTCTTGATCTGCATTGTACCATAATATGTTGAGCAGCTCAATCTTGAATTATTTGTTTGGAAAAAAAAATTATAATAGAGTGAAGAATCATATTGTTGACATGCTGTATACATCGCTACCTTTGTCTACAAAAGTGTTGTGTGTGGTGTAAAGGTGGTTAATTCTAACAGAAGTTTCGATTAAAGTTTACCTACTTGTTAAAGAGACATTTAGCAGCACATTCCTTTCGGTGCTTGTTGAAGCTTCTTCAGCAAATATGGGCTCTCTTTATCATGGTTATCACATTGTGCCTAGGCCATAAATTACCTGAAGCCTATTGAGAAAAAGATGGCAGTATGGCCTGCAAAATGAAATATCTGAAATGCCAACTAAAGGAGATTTTGTTTATTGATATTAAGATTATATTGCGAGCCACAAATTGGATCCATGAACATTTGAGTATTTCTCTATCATAAGCCTAACTTCTTCTTACTTGGGGAATAAAAATGTCTGCTAGAGGTATAGAGATGTCGTAATGTTTGTGTATGTACTAAAGTCGATGTTTCTGGTTTTCACACTGCTAATAAGTAAATTATCTTTTTCTTCAGGAGAAAGGTTAGGCGTTTGGCTCGCCTTATTCCCAACAGTTTACTTATCAGCAGGAACTGCGACTGCACTGATTCTAATCGGAGGGGAAACAATGAAGCTCTTTTTCCAGATCGTCTGTGGATCCCTTTGTTCATCAAACCCGCTTTCAACTGTCGAGTGGTATCTTGTATTCACAATATTGTGCATTGTCCTGTCTCAGCTTCCAAACCTCAACTCCATTGCTGGGCTCTCTCTTATCGGAGCCGTAACAGCAATCACTTATGCTACCATGGCCTGGGTCCTCTCGGTCAGTCAAGAAAGGCCACCTTCCATCTCTTATCAGCCCCTGGCATCCACTTCTTTCGGTGCCACAGCTTTTTCAATCTTGAATGCCCTCGGCATAATAGCATTTGCTTTCAGAGGACACAATCTTGCTCTAGAGATTCAGGTATTAGCTCCTGATCTCAAATATTAGTATGCCAAACTGAGCTTTGGTTAGCTTTCACCACTTTCGATTGGTTTATGAACTCTGCTGTTACTTGATATCCAGGCAACAATGCCATCGACCTTCAAACATCCTGCACATGTTCCAATGTGGAGAGGAGCTAAGGTTGCTTATCTTCTTATAGCCTTGTGTTTATTCCCTATCGCCATTGGAGGCTTCTGGGCCTACGGAAACCTGGTAAGTATAGTATCATAGCCAATATTGTGTTTAGAAGAATCTGTGATGGTATTTTCCTTCGAGGATTTTGTATAGTATGATATGATCACACTTTGGTTACATCTTCCAGATGCCAGCAGGAGGAATACTGAATGCTCTTTACGCCTTTCACAGCCATGATATCCCTAGGGGACTTCTGGCAACAACATTCCTCTTGGTGGTGTTCAATTGCCTCAGTAGCTTCCAGATATACTCCATGCCTGTGTTCGACAGTTTCGAGGCAGGTTACACCAGCCGAACGAATCGACCCTGCTCGATTTGGGTCCGATCTGGGTTCCGAGTCTTCTACGGTTTCATCTCGTTCTTCATCGGGGTAGCACTGCCTTTCCTCTCTAGCTTGGCTGGCCTGTTGGGTGGTCTCACTCTCCCTGTCACCTTTGCTTACCCTTGTTTCATGTGGATTGGTATAAAGAAGCCTCAGAGGTTTAGCTTCAGCTGGTATCTTAATTGGAGCCTTGGCATCATCGGCATGGCTTTCAGCTTAGCCTTATCTGCAGGAGGTGTTTGGAGCATGGTGAACAGTGGGCTAAAGCTCAAGTTCTTTAAGCCTAACTAGGTTCCTAAAGTTTTGATATATGGCATAAAGTCCAACAAGTATGTTGTTGTCATCCTCAAGGTTTGTCTTTTAATGTATTATTATGTGTGATGGATGCTTGTTTCTGAAGTCATAGCTTGATTAATTCCACTTGATTTCTGTCTCCACAAACCCTTTTTCTAAAATTTAAGAAGGAAGAGCTAAAATTTGGAGATTGAGAAATTTGGAATCTTTTACCTGAGGAGAAGCTAAGAAAGGCTGAGGAATCTTAAAAAAAAGAACAGGATATTAACTGTCTGTCTAGAAATAAAAAAGCAGCAAACTAAAAGCAGTAAAGAATATCTTAAGCACAGAATCATATATTAACCTTTTTGAAAAGGAAAGAACACCAAACAAAAGGCAGTAAGCATAAAACATCAACATCTGAAAGCAGCATTCATTTATCCAGATGCAGAACTGATTAAAGGAGCCAGTTGAGTACAACAAAAATTACCTCCAACAGCAGTTTTGATCAGCATTCTCATCTTCTGGGAAACAATTAGTTGTTGTTTCTTAGCCTGTATCACTGTATGTGATAAAAGCCATAGAGCTTCCAGTCATCTGTTGCATGGTGCAATGAAAACCAACAGCTCATGTTGGATGCAAAATGCAAAGATCAAACATCATAACTGGCAGTTCAGCCAGGTTAGTCAAACGGACCACCATCTTTGAAATGCAAAACAAAAACCAGTCTCAAGATCATCATATGTTTACACTAGTTATAAACAAATATCAAGAAGATCAAGTGTTGGCACAACACTACATAAGCTACAATGATATTTAAATGACATGAAAACAAAACCTTGCAAATATATATAATCCACAGCTGGCTGAGGGTTAAAGCAGTCAAATAAATTCAATCTTGATGAGCGAACCGTACTGAATTAGAAAAATTATCCATTGTTCATGAATATCATACAGTTGGCATGGAGGTAGAGAGAACCACATATGTCAGGTAGTGAAGAGCATCCTGAATCTTCTCCACAGCACTGGTTTGGCCAGCTCGGAAATGGTTCGTAATAACATTTGCCTTTTCTTGAACTGAAGTATGCGGGAGGCCCACTTGTTTATCAGAAGAAACACTTTGTATGACTGTCAGATATGCTTCTAGTATGTCTGAGATTCCTGAAATAATAATATGCACAATTTTGATTAGAAAATCCAGACAAGTTGGAAAAGTAACATACAATGCTGCCTGCATTTGAAAATTAAAAAAAAAATCTGGTGCATGTGCAAGTCTTTTGTTGTATTCCCCTTTTTTTACAATGGAAACAAACAAGTGCTTCCACATATGACAGAAACAGCCTTAACCAGAAAATTCTGCAGGCATCATCAGCCATTGTTGTTCGAGCAAAGAGTCTGACAAGGAGTAAAAATACCCATTGTATAAATATGTCAAAAATTTTCACAGCACTCCTCTCAATGTTCTTTTTGCAGGCAATGACAAATTTCATGGTGTGCAGTAACTCTCCTCTTCTCTCATTTCATAAAGGAGATCAGGAAACATCTGCCTTATTTAGTCCAAAATAGGATAGGAAAAAAGAAAATTAGAACAAGCTAGTGATACTTTTGGTGCTAGATAGCACCAACATCTATAACTAATGGCATACAATCTGCTTCTCAAGACTGTATTTTACTCATCCAAACTACCAAAACGATTACCAACTACGTTTCGTTTCTTATTCACTTATTGTCACACACACCCTGAGCTAATAGTACAGCAGATTTACCCAACTAAGAACACACATGCAACTGTATAAATTGATATTCAAAAATTGAGTTTACGGATAGATCAGAATGACGTACACTAGTCCTGATGGTTACTTATTTTATCAGAAAACAAATGATTCTGAAAGAGACTAGTATTTTAAAGCATTTGTTCATTACAGAAAACAGTAACAAGAAAATTTATATTTAGGTAGCTTCAAAATATTGGTACCTAAGTAGCAAAAGCCAAATACTAACAAGTGTTCTCTGGAGGAAACACATACACCAAGTTCAGCAAACAACTAACTTGAACTCCCACATAAATCACTCACCTGTAATAAAACTATTAGAAACCGTTTCCATGTCTCCAGTCATGGACTGGGCCTTGTATCTTATAACCTTAGCTTTTAAGGCAGAATCTTCAGGCCAATCAATCTTCAAAGAATCACCGCTTATTTCTTCATTCTTTGCTTTGTTTGCACTTGAAATGACTGATTTTCCAAGAGCCAGAAGTTGAGATATTGCAGAACAACAGAGTTCTGACAATCTCTGCATTCAAAATGCAATGAATTGATAAGTACAACATAAAACGAGTACCATAGAAAAATAGTTCCTCATTTGATCTGCATACATGGATACACTCTGAGTGGATTGTCTCAAGTCTGCCAGTAGCTCGCTGAATTATATCATCTTCAGTAAGTCCCCCAAGAGAAGATGTGAACCTGTACAGAAGAAATTCCCTTTGTTAATCAGAAAAAATAAATTTTAATTTTATAGAATCCATACATTAGTGGCATGGACCATAATACTAATAGCGGCTTCAGATTAAACTAATGTTTCATTTTTTAAAGAAACAAAAAACATGATGATGCTAAAACAGAACAAAAGATGAATCAGTATAAATTGCAAAGAATCTATTGACAACACAGCAACTTAATAAAAATTAAAAACAACGAAACAAAAAGCATATAGGAAGCAAGCTTAAATATTGCAAAGAAGATCGTCTTCTCATATATGTTCGTAACATAAGAGTGTAGCTAGAGGTATTCTATTGAATTAACTAATGGCACATTATGATGATTGATCAAAATTAAGGTTTAACTGAAACCATCATTTTTGCTCTTTATAGTTTCCTATTCAGTTCTCCCATATTAAATTCTAACTGAATGATCGAAAAGAAACAAATCTGAATCTAATTGTTATAGGGTAAGAGTGTGCAACCAAAACTTCCTTCTCCTTCCCCTTCTTCTTATCCTTCAACTCTTCTCTTCCTTTTTCTTTTTTATCCCTCTACCAAATTTGCAGTGGAAAAGCTTTCTGAGTCCTAAATTGCCAAAACAGTGGTTTTATCAAACCCTAATATCAGAATCAGCGGCTAGTTACAATTCAAACCAATGGGCTAGTTCAAGAAATGAACCAGTATATGGTTTAAAACAACATCGTGGCTTGCAGGGTGTCTATTAGTACACTGTACGAAGTACAAACCAATGTAGCTTGCAACTTTGCATCTCAATCTATGGCTGCATATGTACCATCCAATTCAGTCAAGGTACCATAAAATTAGAAAAACATGATGATACCCTGTCCTTGTCATTTCTATATTTAACTAGTTCCCTTGCTAGTGACATACTCCTGATATCATGTTATAATCCTATGCTATGCTACTTTCAACAAGTTATAATCGACAAGTTATAATCCTATGCTACTTTCAACAAGTTATAATCGACAATTGTGCAGGCCGCAGGGTATTAACTGCAGTCGAGAGAGGCAAAAAGAACAAAGAATCAGTTAACCAGAATGAGAGCATTAGATAGTAGCAGGTCTATTTGTTAGCAACATGATAAATAAGTTCCCTATTGACTTTTGTATTACCCTGCAGCAATGTCAGCAGCCCTTTTGACACTCGAGTCACATAACCTTTTCATCTCAGTATCACTGTCACCAGCTGTTGTCTCAATAACATTTCCTATATCTGGATCAACTCCATTTTCTTCAGCGATGGTGCCCAGACTGAAGAATTTCTGGACCTGTAGCAGTTTAGCATTATAGAGGGATTTCTGTTCTGCCAAAAGTTTTGTTTTTCGCCTGTTAAATAGTAAAACATGATGACTTGACAGTGCTTCCAGTTCCTGCATCCAAATATTTAATGAAATTTATGAAAAGTCAACTGCAAGTATAAACCACTGAAAAGAAACTCACGGAAGATAGAGTAGTACCTCAAGAAGATCAGGACCTCCATAAATGTAAAAGCACCTGTCAAACGTTACTTCCTCAAACTCTTCTTCGTCAGCTTGTTGGTTAACGGGGTCCTTCTCAACTTCAAGACCAGTCTCAACAATGAGCAGGTCCATCGTCTCTTTTCCAACCCGCTCAAGGACTTCCATTCCCTTTGTTGTAAAAGTCTTCCCAGTCTAATACACAGAAAAGAAAGAACAAAATCACACATCTGCAGAGACCGATACATAAAGAAAACATTATCGATGCATGTTATGGTGTTTGTTAACATAACAGGATACCTCAATAATTGATGGAGCAAGAGAAGTGGCTTTGCCAGGCAGGTCTCCGTGCTGCATGGAATCAGCAAGATTTGCAGCAGAATGCTCCAACCTGAAAGACATAGCTTCACGTCAAGTGGATAAACTGACTGAAAATCAACGTAAAAGGTCCAAACGGTTTCCCTGCTTAGAAAATAACAAAGTGGAACAATATATGAAATACTACTCAGAATTGAAAAACTAATAAACAATAAACATCTAGAAAGCATTGTACTAATGATATTTATGTGAATTCAGACGGCACATTATAAAACTTCAAAACAACTCACGGACATAACTGGCTAGCCTGAAAATCAAGGATGGTTACAAGTGAAAAACCGAAAATATAAGTTGGAGTATCAACAAGTTCACATCGATAAACTCAGTATAACCAAGAAACAAAATTAATACAACCATCCTGACAATAAATGCTGCACACAAAGCCAGCAGTCATTCACTCTCCAAGTGAAGGGCATGGAAAATATCAGGTTGTGCCAGCAAAAGGCAGAATAAAGCCGGTTTAACTGAAGTAAATTGGTCATCAAACAATAGTAGCCAAAATTAAAATCTTTTTTTCCCTAGTTAGATATGATGCCTCTTTTCCGATTTCTTTATAATGTGCTACAGCATGGAACGCCACTAATTTTGTAACAACCTCATGCACCAATCAGAAGGGTCATCAGAAAGTGTCATAGTATCATTTGCGATGAACTCATCAAAACCAATTAGGATCTCTCTCCTTCAAGGAACATTGAGTTTATACTTGTAATTGATCCTGTAAATTGCCCTACGCAACCGACGGAGGTAGAGGAAAAGAAACACCATACCTACCGACCAGCCTCGAACCCCCCTTCCAAGCATTACCCAATGCACTCCATGCTCCGAAAGCAAAAGTTTCCACTGAATTGTCCAATACCTTGAGACCCTACATACCATGAGATCAAAGATGTCAAGTAGACAAGCCCCATATAATAACCTTCCATACGTGAATACACGGAAAGAGCCACCACAAAAGGAACGTCCAAGAAAGAGACACATGTGAATAACCATTGCAGCGGGGATCCTCTAACTTGTAAATCACCTGACCGAACAGAGAATCGTCACTGGCTTTCTCCAATCTATCCAACGCGGACTTGCGAAGTTTATTGTTCTCACTTTCGTCTTCTCCCCCTTTGCGCTCTTGCTCTTGCGCAGCATCAGGGTCCATGCTCTGCAAGTCGGTGGTGCCCGCGTTCTTGATGGCTTCAACTGCCTGATCCCGAACAAGAACAAAGCAATCCTTTTACTACGATTCTTCGCTTCTTTTTCCTTTGAATCTAAATTTGAGATGCAACAGTAGACCGACGATAATCGGTAGAAGAGCACCAACGTTTATGGAGATCTCTTCGGCGGCCTTCTGGAGATTCGAGAAAATGGAGAACGAGGAGAAGCCCCAGCCGCCTCCGCCTTCACGCGGCTTCTTTTCTTGGTTCTCGGGAGGACACTCGTTACCCTCCTCTTCCTCCATCCGCTCGCCGTTTCCGGTCCACCTCCGACCCGACTTCTTCCCCGTAAAGAAGATTCCTCTTCCCCGTCTCCGCCGAAACATGAATCGCCTGCGAACGCACTGGACGGCGATGATGAGGGGATTCACTGGATCCAACGCGCTAAATTGATCATTACGTGATCCATGGACGGTCAAGATTTCGTTTTAGGAAAAAATAATATTTAATGGAAACGTATTTGCATTATGGAAATATTATTTGCGCCGCGAAATACCTAATAAAAGTTTTCTTTACCGTTTATTTATTTCATTTTTGTTCGCCTTACTAATTTTTCTATAAAGATTCATTATAATAACCATTTTAATTAATCTATATCTATCAATAAATTATAAACACAAATAATTTTTTTAGTTTTGCAATACTTCACCATCGATGCATATGTTTTATTCAAAATGATTTAACGATAATTGCATGAATAAATCATTCTTATATAGATCGCAACCTATTTTATAAAATGTGTGTTTTGAATGGTTGACCCACTCGTTCACCGTTAAATCAAAGTTTGATATAGGTACCAGATTTATAGGATTGAAAGTTTCAAATCAAACACAATCGATTATCAATAGTGACAATCAATCTTACGATAATTATTAAGTGTTAATCAAGGATCATCTTATCTTTGTATCATGAGAAAAATATCCCATGTGTTTTTGCTTAAGACTTGAGAGAGAAAAAGTTCTTCGGAATAATCCAATTAGAACAAGACTCGAGTATAAACCATATGAGTCTAATAGTTTCATGTCTAGTATATAGTCTCTGGGATATTAGATGACTGACGGATTATAGATACATAGTAATTGAGGACAAACAAGTCCAATTGATTGAATTCATTTGTATCATTCAGAGATTGTGACGTAGTGGCTTAGTACGTCGATAGTCGATGAATAAAGTGAATTAATATGAAAATAATAATTCACTGAACAAGAAGAAGTTTTTATATGTATGACTCTCGATATTAAGCATAGAGGGTTACACACATATAATATAATATTAATGATGATGCTCAAGATATAAGGGTGTGTATGGAGTCAAATAATTGAAATTTTGATAGAAAATATAGTACAAACACTGGTATCATCCAATTATCTTAATTGAAATCCTAAACTTATCCGAATCCGCGTTTGGAATGTGATTTGGATCGTAGGTGGATGCAATGCATATGATAGCACCCCTTAATGTCGAATTGACGGGTTTAGATCGAGTTCAATCCGGACCTGATTCGACCCGATCGTTCTGTCTCGGGCTTATTTGGGTCCTTTCATCTCGGTCACGGCCGGTATTAGGGATGGGGTTAAGAGGTTTGACCAAACCTCGAGTCCGATCGACCAATTATGATTCTAAAAGCAAAAACAGAGGAAGTATGCCCATTTTTTGTTTCTGAAAACATGGACGGTGGTCTCGAGTCTCGACTCGGCTTTCGACTCGTCGCCGGTTTATGAAGGCAGACACGGAGACGTCCGAAGTAGGACTCAGTTATTGAGGCGGAGACGGCGATGCAAGGCCACCTCCACCACCTCCAGCAACAGCTAGCCGCTCTCCTCTCCGCCGCTCTTACTCAGCCCTCCGCGTCCGCCGCGGCCGCGGGCGGGAGCGCCGAGTCCACCCCTTCCTCCTCACCGGCTGCGACTGAAGGACCAGGCGAGAGAGGTGGCGACGCCGCTCGAATCGCGGCCCTAGAATCCCTTCAACGAATCATCCTCTACCCTCCCAATGCCTTCGTCGTCTCCCACTCCTCCCCTTTCCTTTCCCAGGGCTTCTACCAGCTTCTCTCTGACAAGTAAGCCCTCTCTCCCCCTCTTCGTGTCGCTCCAAAACCCTAAAGATTCTCTCATTCTAAACCCTAACTATTTTATGCTATAACGTTTAGTGATATCGTTATTTTCGCATTCCACTCTATCGAACAAATGGTATCCACCAAAATTGCAGACTTACGATTGTGCCTTTTCACGATTTCGAAAGTACTATGATAATATATGTTACTTGTGGAAGATTCCTTGTAGGTCATATGCCGTGAGGCGAGCAGCAGCGATTACCTACGGATCCCTTTGTGCCATTCTAGTTTCCGTTCCAATTGGATCGAATGGTCCCCAAAATCATGTTTTGGCATTGGCTGAGAGATTCATGGCTTGGGCTCTTCCTCTTCTTGGGGAGACTGATGTTCAGAATGGGTCTGCGGAATTGGCATTGGAGAGCCTTCGAGAGTTCCTTAATGTTGGCGATGCTAATAGCATCGAACGCTTTGTACCGCTAATCCTCAAAGCATGCCAAGAGCTTCTCGAGGACGAGAGAACCTCCCTTGGCTTGCTCCATCAGCTTCTTAGCGTTCTTACCCTGATTTCTTTGAAATTTGGGCATTGCTTCCAGCCGCATTTTGTTGACATTGTTGACTTGCTTCTGGGATGGGCTTTCATGCCCGACCTCTCCGAGTCTGGTAGGACGATAATTATGGATAGTTTCTTGCAATTCCAGAAGCACTGGCTGAGCAATTTACAGTTTTCATTAGAATTGCTCTCAAAGTTTCTGGGTGACATTGAAGTTCTTATCCAGGATACAAGTCTTGAATCTGGCAGCCAGCTTGGGAGGTTGCTTGCTCTCTTCTTCTGTTTCTCGACAGTACTACGAGTCACAGCATCAGGAATGATGGAAATGAACATACTTGAAGACGTCAGAGAACCCCTGGAGAATATGGCTCCCCGTTTGCTGAAATGTATAGCAAGTTTTGGGAGGAAGTCTGGGTCGCCAAAATGGATGGGAGAATCTTGGAGATGCTTGATACTTCTGGCTGAAATACTTAATGAAGGGTTCTCTAAATCATATCCAATTGTTATTGATATTTTGTTTCAAAACTTGATAGGAATTCCATCGTTGCAGATAAATGCATTGGTTAAAACTAATTTGCAACTGCTATCTAGGCAGAAGCTGGCACTCCATCCTTCTTCTGTAAGGTCTGTATTAGGATTTTATTCTCCCTTGTCTCAGCTGCGTCTGCATCCAAATCACCTTGTAGTTGCAAACACTGCAGCAACTTACCTTTTCTTTCTACAACATGGGTCCAATGCTGTTGTTTCCCAAGCTATTTCGTATTTGATTGAAGAGTTGGAGTTGTTAAAAGGCATGCTTGGAAAAATTCGTGGGCATTTTGCTAATGTCAATGAGCTCCAGTTGGATTTTGTGACGGATGACCAATTGAAATTAGATTTAGGTTCTGGCAAGGCCTATTCGGAACATGAATTAATTTCCTTAATAAAGTTTGACTTAAAAGCATTGCTAAGTTCTATTCCTTGCGGTGCTGCTGAAAGTTTGCAGGACCAGGTTGTCATTGACTCGCTTAGATATGATAGATCAATGAGACTGGCATCTTCGATTTTAGAGAAGCTCCATCCTTTTGAGTCTCCTGTCGACGGTTGGTTTGAGTTGCAAGTCCTTATTGTTAAGACATTGAACAGGTTAAGTGAGGTTGAACTTCTAAGTAAGTTCACAATTCTGAGAGCTTCTTGGGAGAAGGTTTCTGTTAATTCAGTTGGAAAAAGTGAAAGAAGCCTTCAAGCTAAGACTGATCTAATTACTGAGTATAAAAGGAAATATGCTATGTGCATAGTTAGGGCACTTGGGGTTAATTCACCTATATCTGTTAAGCTAGAAGCTCTTGACTGGATATGTTCATTTGGTTGGATGATTGCAACTTTGGAGAGCGATGCAGACTTGATGATGCAATTTTGTGATCCACATGCAGATGCTGGTGTTGGCAGTGACTTACTTGTTGCAATTTTTGATGCAGCATATGTGAGGGAATCTAAGGTGAGATCTCGTGTTGCATCTGTTCTGGAAGCTCTTTTGCAGGCAAGGCTAATTGATCATGCATACTTCAATTTTGTCTCAGAAGTTGCACTTGATAAGCTTGGTGATCCAGATGTAACTGTAAAAAATGCATTTGCCAGAGTACTATCTGTTGTGTTGCCTTTAACAATGTATTCACGTGGTCTGAATGACAGAGCTAGTAGTATTTGTGAGTTTGTACATTGTACTGTCAACAACTATTACCTGAGTTGGAAGAATGAACTTGCCTTAAAGCAGTGTTCCAGAAAGCTTCACTCACATCAACTTGTTTCCATCATGAGTTACATATCACAGAGGTGGAAGGTGCCTCTATCTTCTTGGATCCAGCGATTAGTCTTTAGTTGCCATTGCAAAAAGGATTCAATTTCTAGCAAAGAGGAAATAGTTGGAGAACCTGGTAATGGTGACATGTGGAAGGGTGGAAAGACAGAGGAATGTGCAGTTGATAAAATATGTCCAGTGAATAATATAGCTGCTGTTTGGTGGTCCATTCATGAGGCTGCTAGACATTGCATTGCTCTTCGTCTGCGAACTAACCTCGGTGGTCCGACCCAGACTTTTGCAGCCTTAGAGCGCATGCTTTTGGACATACCTAATGTGCTTCTATTAGATGCTGAACAAACTGACAGTAAGTACATAGCCTCGTCCAATTCTCACTTGTTACCAATGCGATTGCTGCTGGATTTTGTTGAGGCTTTGAAGAAAAATGTTTACAATGCTTATGAAGGTTCTTTCATTTTACCTGCTTGTAGTCGACAAAGTTCCGTGTTCTTCCGAGCAAATAAGAAAGTTTGTGAAGAGTGGTTTTCTCGAATATGCGAGCCTATGATGAATGCTGGGCTGGCATTGCATTGCTATGATGCGACCATTCAGTACTGTTTGTTACGGCTGCAGGATCTAAAAAGTTTAGCAACATCAGTTTTCAAGGAAAAAGCTCGTGGGGCATCTGTTTCTGAAAGTTTCCATCTCAGATCTAGGTTTGCAGGAGATGTTATGAAGGTTGTCCGACATGCATCCTTGGCCTTATGCAGGAATTATGAACCAGAGGCTTTGATTGGCCTTCAGAAATGGGTTTCTACACAATTTTCTGTCCTGTTTAAGGAAGACAAACATATTGTTTCAGGTGTAGCTGGGAACTTTGGGCAATTTTCATGGATCGCAGGACTTGTCTATCAGGCTCAGGGCCAATATGAAAAGGCAGCTGCTTACTTTTC